ATTGTTAGCAACACGAAACCCAAAGAACACAAACGGAAATGTGGTTTTATAATTACATCATGTTCTACAAAAGAAATTGAACCTTGCTTTCATTGGCTGATGTGTGTTTGTTTTTGGAAAGAGTCTGAAGGAGATCACAGATACACAAACACTCACTGATAATGGTAGACATCAGGAGCTGCAACAAATACAAGTAAGTCAGGGGAACCTATTTACAAAACATGTCCTTCAAGGTCCATAATACTCTGTAACCGTGGTAACGGTCTGAACAGTCATATGTACAACTCCTAGGAAGTTAAAGAACACCCAAGTCTGTGTAGTACCATAAGAAAACATGTCATGGCAGACTGATAATGGGGTGTGTGTGTGTGTGTGTGTGTTCTAAGTACAGATCAACTGATTCACAATTAGTGTTTGAAGTAGGCTGGTGATGAAACCTAATTAATTATGTACACCACATATAGTAGCTTAAAGGCATAATGTCACACATTTTCGTCAATATTTTGGCCTATATTTTATATATACTGGCCACATAAAGGAACTGTGCACACAGAAAATATAAAGATAGGCAGACAGCGTATTTATGCATAAATAAAGGTGTGAACATAACAAGTATTGGAGACAATCAAACGCTCGTGCAGGTGCCAGGCGACGTGACGTCATTGATGGTGGTCTATGGACTTGCAATGTGTTACTGCACGTGCAGCCTGTGCAGCTGCACACAACATGTGAAATTCAGAAATTGCTGTCACTGTCGAAAGCTTGATCTTTGGTCATTCAAAAGTTCACAAATTTACATGAGAAGTCACATGCACATCATGCCAAGATTAACAGGTGTTCAATGTCATGAAGCCATTGGAAGGGTTCGAGCAGGCATGAGCCAACAACAGGTGGCAGCACATTTCTAATGCCATCGTAACACGATATCTGCATTGGTCAGGCGTTAGGGAAACAGTAATGACGTCGCCGACCACCCAGGACAGATGGATTCGGGTGACTCATATCAGACACAGGTTCCAGATGGCAGTGACCACGTCCCAAACCATTCCCCAGGCCTTCATTTGGAAAATTTGGTAGCCTCTATGCGTTGTCGATGCACTGCTGTGCGTCACGCGCATGATGGTCATACCCGTTATTGACTTTGTGACTTCGACGTGTGACCCCTGACTCAATTTTGAACTTCTGACGTCATCGTTACGGATATTGTTCATGTTCTTTTGACATGTTGTTGAGGCTTCAGCTTATAAAGTGTCCACATCATTTCGTCTTTTCTGTGTTGTATTCCAATTCTGAAGGAATTTTCTGTGTGCACAGTTTCTTTATGTGGCTAGTATATTAGGGGCATATGCACTCACTTTAGCGTCCTATTGAAGGAATAAAAGACTTATTATCCCTTACGACTTGCCTGAAATTGAAATTTGAAATTTCAAGGTAAACAGCTTCCAAACAGATAACACTTGCCATATATGGAATGCAAACGATTGATCTCTACATTGAAAACTGCTGCACACGGTGTTTTAGGTGTTTGCCGAACTGGCCTCAATCACAAGTTGTGTTATAGGATATTCGCAAAAAAGCATTCCAAGGGACATAACTCTATGGAGTTCGCTTGAAATAATGTGCGGCCGGTAGAGGGCACGAGAATCAATATAATGCAACGTTGCATTAATTCATTCAATCTTTACAATTTAATATTGTAATCTAAACACGTAATTGTTTTGGGAATAAAGTATATGGTAGCTTCCCTGAGGGCTGATAGTTTGTTTTATTGAGAGAAATGCATTATGTATTTTTAGAGAAATGTGGTGGGACATCGTGCCTTCAAAGACATATTGCATCTGTACACAGCAGCCTATATATCAACCCTGGATTAGTATGAGCCACCTCCTGTGCTGCCGTAGGTTAGATGACACATCAGACTAGCCACCTAGCCTCATCACCTGATCCACTGCCCTACCACAAGAATAGGTTGATGGGAACACGTAATCCCGACAAGGACATTAACGTGTAGGCACACACCACAATGTATACTCAATATTAAGTTATGGCAATGTTCACTTATGTACACAATGATTGAATGTCAATTATGTACATAAACTTGAAATATGAGAAATGATCTGCTTGAAATTTGAACATTAACCTTTCTTTACTGATTTCAGTAAACAGCAACAACATTAAGTCTTCACATGTTAACTGTAATCTAAGTCAACTCTGCTGGTATAGTGCCTTTGAAGATTGTGCCACAGAAACCTTCATAACACAGGTATTATCTAAAACTTGGTTAGTACTACAAAGAAATATTTTGTCAGCATCCCAAAAGTATCCCAATCATTCTAAAACTGTATAAATGAGTTAGAACTTAGATGATTGCATTTTGTATATATATCTATATACAACACCAAAATTTATATACTATATATCATATTACTAATGTATACAGCCCAAAACTAAGATACAGAATCTGTTTTTCTAAACTTTAATGGATCCTAAATACCCAGGAGCAAAGCCCCCCATCCTTCTTAAGCTGCCTGAAACAACCTGTTCCCTCTATCCATACTGATACACTACACTCATGTAGTGTCTGTGTGAATTCCTAACAGTCATGGACACACTCAGCATATGGCAAACATTAGGAAAACCATACCACTATGCATCATGCTTATCCAAGACAAAGGTATGCATCAAGACAATGAGTATGCATCATGCTCATCAAAGACAAAGGGTATGTACCATGCTTATCCAAGACAAAGGGTATGTACCATGCTTATCCAAGACAAAGGGTATGCATCATGCTTATCCAAGACAAAGGGTATTACCATGCTTATCCAAGACAAAGGGAATGTACCATGCTTATCCAAGACAAAGGGTATGCATCATGCTTATCATACAAGACAAAGGGTATGTATCATGCTCATCAAAGACAAAGGGTATGTACCATGCTTATCCAAGACAAAGGGTATGCATCATGCTTATCCAAGACAAAGGGTATGTACCATGCTTATCCAAGACAAAGGGTATGCATCATGCTTATCCAAGACAAAGGGTATTACCATGCTTATTCAAGACAAAGGGTATGTACCATGCTTATCCAAGACAAAGGGTATGCATCATGCTTATCCAAGACAAAGGGTATGTACCATGCTTATCCAAGACAAAGGGTATGTACCATGCTTATCCAAGACAAAGGGTATGTAGCATGCTTAACTAAGACAAAGGGTATGCATCATGCTTATCTACATGAAAGGAGTCCATATATCATGCTTATTAGCAAGGATAAGGGTTATGCATTTTGTAAACAGCAAGACAAAGTTTATGCACTCAGCTTATACCCAAAATCTTCCAAGCCATGTCAAACCCTAATATAATAATATTAGCATATATTTACAACAGTTTCAAATAATCACTGACAAGATGTTCCTGACAGATCCAGGTATGTTTACCTTCTAACAAGTTGAAGCCCACATTGATTTAAATAAATAATTCAGTTCAAATGGCCTTATTGGCCTCCTAGAATATGCAATGGATTGACAAACACTCAGAGTAATGTTATGTAACACCATACATCATCTGTACAAACCCGGACAACCATCCAGTAAATCAAACTACCAGTATTTAACTTTACAAATGATCAAAACATAATTTTAGAAAATGAAAGTATATCTAACCTATGTTAAACACCCAAGTACACAGCAACTGAGATCATTATTTAGTCGGAAGCACTATCACAAGTGATCATATGATCATGTGATCCTGCGTATTTGAAGAATTCAAATTACAACAAGAATATTTCAAAAGGCATTACCTCCAGTAATCAATGAACATAATAGATGTACAATTTGGATGAATAAGCCTGAAACAAGGACATTCCTTTAAAATCATGCATATAATTAATATAAGGAATGCAAATACTGGGGACAACTTGTGTTCCAGAAATACAGGCCTGAACTTAGTCACTAACCCATCAAAGTGGTGTCAGTGATAGCCAGCATTCTGTGGAATTCCTTGAAGGCTTGTCCAACCAACAACATGTCAAAATCATATTAGGTATTCATCACATTTGCCATATACACCAGTTAGGCTGGATACACCATTTATATACCATGCATGCTGTATACTGTGGAGGAGGGGATATAAGAAACAAAGGGAAGTTCCTGTAAACACACCTGTAACCATGGTAACTGCATTTCCCTTGTTTGCTGCAACACAGTCAGTATGGACTCGGATGCAAGCACCACAACCGACAGTTTACTTCCCTTATTAATTGCCATACTGAACAGAACATTTCTAGCAACTTAATTTGTGTAAAACAAGCAGGGACTGAATAGTAAAATCACTGGTAAGTACCTTTAATGCCTTACTTTCATCAGAGTGATATTCTGAACATACCTCTCACTTTACAGTTTTGACAACTGTCACTCTGTACCTACTGGTTACAGAGACCTAATATGACCCTGTTTCCTTAGAGGGCAGTCCAAATTTAGATATCACATAAATTTCTTAGTTCCACAATGTTACCTGGTCTACACATTTTCCATCTGACCGTTTCCTTAGAGGGCAATTCAAATTTAGACATCACATGAATATCTTAATTCCTCAATGTTACATGGTTTTCACATTTTCCATCTGACAAAATTAACTCTCCATGGGGTACTTACTGCTGTTATTGTCATAATTTTACTATTTTAAATATCTTGGCATCATAAATGTAACAAAACACAGAAAGGATGAAGCCATTTCAAACACCTTCCTTGAGTATTGTTGAATTAAGGTATATATCCAACATCAAACTTTTAAACAACTCCCCTTCCACGTTGAGGCGATGTGAAGTGCAATGTGCAATGTAGTAGATTCATAATCACTTTCTTGGCCAGCTTGGAGAAAATGGAAATCTGGTTATTATTACATGAGTGTTATGATCTCCTATAAATGAAACGAAAGCAAAGAAAAGAAGGCATAATACTCTGTTCAACATACAAGTATTTACCGTTTAAATGATTTTATATAATCAAGGTCGTGGGTAATGGAATGTCCAGGTAAATTAGTTCATTGTGTTCATTAAAAAAATAAGTGCTATTATGTCATTGTGAGGGTATAATAAGCATATTAGTTCTGATATATATACATGGTGAGTGCACAATCATCCAGACAATGAGCCCTGGTCATGGACAAGGTATGAAGCAAGTATGTGTCACAATACACTAAGCATGCTAAGTGCCTATGATCAATATGAAACTGTCAGTCTTTCAGCCAATATATACTGAGCAACATTAGAAACGCACCACCCATATAATACGAAATATCCCCGTCAGACTGAAATGTACCCATAATATCTGAGCATCGTCGGTGCAATTTAGTGTGGTGTGTTTCTAATGTTGTTCAGTATACTTCTGACACTGAAAACAAATCCTAAAGATCAGACAAATCCTGTTTATCAATATTATAAAACCAACACAATATGTCAGCATGGCCAGCAAGATGTTAACTAAGACAAACTTGGAAAGGCTGACATTTTGGTTGTAATTGTTGTAATACTGTAGTGAGTTATGAAATCGAATTTCAAAAATTTTCCACAAAATATCACAGGCACTTGGGAGAATCTACATGATCTACCAATACTAATCTGTCCCAGAACCACATGAAAACCTAAACATCATCTAAGAAAATCATAACACATCTCAAATATTTACCATCAAAGCTGTATAAAAAATATAATCTGAAAACAATTGTCATTTGGTTGTGAAAAATATCATGGTGACAGAAGTCTTACATTTAGGAAAAAATAAACTACCCTGGAATCAGAAACCAATATTCAGAGTCACATCTACTTTTTTCAACAAAATAAACACAATCGATGCCTAAAGAAACATGGTCCATCACCTACACGATTCACCTGAGAATGAAGAACTTTAATTTTCAAAACTTGCAGGACGTTATAAGATACCGACATCATTTTCTAAATCAAGACTTATATTTCTAAATTATTCAACATATCCAAATCTGAAACTAAACTAAGATTTTAAGTAGTTAGTGGTTGTGAAATATAGGTGGGAGATGTTTAAACACTAAAGGCTATGACCAATGCAGGATCATGTCCATAACCGATGAACATGATGCTGGTAACCATGGAAACCAAATACCCCAAAACCTGCCACGACACCTCTCCTGGGATGCAGTTGTTAGGAGTGGGTGCCATCATTTTTCATCCTCAAGTCACACTGACTGAAAATACACAAGAAACAGGAGGTCTTTACCTAGAAGATGATGGCGCAACAGACATTCACGCAACAACACATGATAGGAGTATCAACCTATACTTAAAGGCACAATGTCACACATTTTCGACAATATTTTGGACCATATTGTACATATTGGGGAATATGCACTCACTTTAGCATCCTATTGATGCATTAAAAGACTTATTATCCCTTACGACTTGCCTGAAATCGATAATTGAAACTTTGAGATGGACAGAAAAACAGAGAACACTTGCCATGTATGGAATGTAAACAATTGCTCCGTACATCGAAAACTGTCACACGCGATGGATTTCACTTGAAATAATGTTCAGCCAGTAGGGGGCGCTAGAATATATTTAATGCAACATTGCATTTATTCGTTCGAACTTTTTTAATTTAATATTGTAATATAAATACATAATTTGGTTTTAATAAATTATATGGGAGCTTCCCTGAGGGCTGATAGTTAATATTATTGAGAGAAGTGCATTATTTTTTTAGGAAAATGTGGTGTGACATTATGCCTATAATTCCTTGCATAGCACAACTAATATCAGTATGTCTTTCACTGACATTGTCATTCTAACTGAATGCAATCATGTCATAGTGGTCTCCCTTTGATCAAGAGGTAGAAGTCCTTGTATGAGAGGAGTACTTTTTGCGATGTTCTTTAATCCAATGATGATATTAGCGACAAAGGTCTGTCTCACCACCTCCATTTACTTCATTTCAAATGTGTGATGTGGAAAATAGTTTGTCTCATGACAAACATCACAAGCTTTATGTGAAATCAAACATCATTATCATTAAGAAAGAGACACTTCTGTCATGATTGTCAGTGTAGAAGTTGGGAGGGGAATGAACGCGAGTTTGGTGTTATGCTGTCTGTATGTATATTCCAGCTATATCAAGGCAAGATACGGAAGACCCATAGTCTGGGCAGCTACAGTGGGACCACACTATGATGGACCCATGACATAACTACAGATCTGTGATACTGATGTAACACTCACTTCCAGTAAGCTGAACATGCATTGACGATGGTGTGTTAATACTAGCGGAGACTGATTGCAAAAATAGGGTCAAGAAAGATATAGTACATTATAAAATTAGCAATATTATCAACTGAAACTTCACATATTTAAACATGTATAGTCGCAAGTCCTTAATATTGGTAGCATTCTCCATAATGAGGAGCAAGTTTGATAACAGATCTAAAAATTCTTTTGGTTAAGATTGTTTAGAAGATGAAAAAGTGGTTGCTTCAAGTTAGTGGAATTAACGTTTTTTGTTAACGTTTTTTGTCAGATTGTGTCTCTTTAAACATTTTTGAATTCTTCTACTTGTCAAATGACACATTATCTTTCATGATCTATTGACCAGTTTGGACAAGGCTATAGAACTACTATCAGCATGGTCGGTTCCTTACGCAGTTAGTGTCTCAAAGATGAATAACCATTACTGGCTTTGTCATGTAACCATGGTAACAGCTTTCTGACAAGTTCTTGTCCTAAATAGTCTAATTAAGAAACTAGAATCCAAACCAAATGTGACAAATGCTGACTACAGTTATATAAATCATCAACATTCACCATAACACATCTGATGTCAGTAAATGGAATGAACAAATACATTTCAGGTTTGAATTTTTAGCAGAAACATGCTAAAAGTTCTCAGCCTTCACTATAAATAGAACTCTTTTCCTCACTAGACGCAAGTATTATTTCCAAAATACATTGTAATACAATGATAAACATGATAAAGAAAATATGAACTTGGACAGAACATTTAAAAAAATCATTTGATAGGCATTCTAGAACTTATTAGAAGTTGGTGAATCAATAACAACGCATGAAACAATACGGAGAACAAGTTGGTGCCCATTAAATCCTATGCTTTTTCAGAAACAAAACCATGAAAATATTTCCTACTATTTTGTATCAAAACAATCTATATACAGTCTGTCCGGTGAAAACTTGTTTCTTGGTATCCAACAGTGCAAATGATGAAATGAGAAATCAGTATATGAAGTTCTTAGCCGAGGTGGACTTGTCGAGTGACGGCATCACCTCTTCAACGTTGCTCTGTAGTTTCTTGTACTCAGCGCCACCATTGGTCCGCCGCCTCCCTCGACCGCTGCGACCCTCGATGATGAAAGCAATTATCTGTCAAGCAAACATCACCATTTCAATCGAAAAATAGAATAAAAATATGCATTTGAACATTTGACTTTCATGAATCAATCCCGATATCTTAATTTCATTGAAAGAGAGAGTCCTTGATGGGTGACCGTTTAGTTTTTTCTATGCCTGCCCCACAACGGCTACTCAACAATATTCCAGCTATATGGCGGGTAATAATGGCCTTGATTGTCTGTAAATTTGGCGCTAATGGACACATTATTATTATTATATTCCAGCTGTCTGTAAATAATCGAGTCTGGACCAGATAATCCAATGATCAACAGCACGAGCATCGATCTACTCAATAGGGATACAATGACATGTACCACCCTGTAGCTTGACCACCCGATTCCGCTAATTGTCTGTTACGACAAGCATGGGTTACTGAAGAACAATTCTAACCCGGATCTCCAATAGTCAAGTGGTAAATGTCTCTTATTCCTACACCAAGCAATCCTATTAGAATCCTGAGTCCAGGAATGTATAACCTGATAACACAAGTCATAACATATTGCAAGTGTTTTGATGGCAGTTTGATCAGCTAACCCAGAGTTTTTATTTCCATAAACCAAACATTACAATAGGCTGGGTCCACTGTTACCATGGTTACTGCTGTTCCCTGACTGCATGAAAATGATTGTGTTCCATCGTGCTGAACAATGTCACTGATTTTGTGCTGTTGTCTACAGGTTTTTAAAGTGTCCAGAGATAAATATTGTACGTGAAGTTATCATTGTTGAAATAATCATCATGCAGTTTTAAATGTGAAAAAACACTGCATTACGCAGGGATGGAAATAACCCATTGCCCGACGTCCGAGTCCAGTTTTTTTTTCTGTCCGGCAAACAAATTTGTATATCACACTTTACCGGTGTCCAGTTGACTTTCCAATGTTAATTATGTTGTTTATCTAAACAATCAGCAAGAAAATGGTCGGTAAAGTGGAAAAATTCTCAGGGCAAGTGACTTTACATGTGCCACTGTGCCGGAGTACACTAGCAATTTTAAAGTTGTTTCCACCCCTGATTATGGCAATTTTACAAAGAATACACATCATATTAACCTTAAGACACCAATAATCCTAACGATAATTTGATATCAATTCTTGGAACAACAAGAATTTGAAACTGTCAAATGGAAGAACTTGTTCTTCTTCGGCAAAATATCATCCAAGCGATCTAGACAAATTCATGGACACAGGTTTTATACAAGCAGACTTATCTGTAAAAAATGTATTACTACTGTTTAGTCTAGAGTACATAAATGAAATTGCAATCGAAGCAGTCTGTAACCATGGCAACGTGTTTAACTATGGTAACTATGCCTACCAACATAACAGCACTATTACCTTTTGTTTATTGTGGAATACCACATAGCCAGCAATACACAGAACCACAGCTGTCAGGAAGTAAGCCATGAAGTTACCAGATGAAGGAGCATCGTACTCCTTTTCAAGTTTCTTTATCAGTGACTTCCCAGTATCAGCATGGACAACAGGCTGCCCTGTCTGGCCGTCCCCAGGTACCCGAAAATCGCCGTCCTCCTTTTTGGTGACTGTTTCACCGACAACAACATGGCCCTTAGTGTTTGGTATTCTGTCCGTTTTCACTGTAGTTGTGGTTTCAGTATTGATGTTCGAAGTTCCTGTTGTAGGGGCGGTTTTGCTCCCAGTGCCAACCATCAAGGTCAGGTCCACACCCTCTTTCTTTTGGCCACTGACACCATTTTTGTTATTATTCGTCAAAGATGGCAGTGTTTTAGCAGAACCATTGTCAGCTTTCGGTACAGCATTTACAGTTACTCCTGGATTGTCACCTTCATTGGTATGATCCACTCTTTTATCAGCTGTAACATTTTTATTTTTCTGCGCATCTTCCGATCGACTAGTCGGCCCACTCTCACTAATTCTAGTACCATCAGTAGAGTCAGAACCACCATTACCACGATTAGGTCCACCAGTAGGTCTAACATTACCACCATTAAGTCCACCATTAAGTCCACCAGTACCACCATTAAGTCCACCAGTACCACCATTAGGGTACACCATTACCACCATTAGGTCCACCAGTACCACCATTAGGTACACCAGTACCACCATTAGGTACACCAGTACCACCATTAGGTACACCAGTACCACCATTAGGTCCACCAGTACCACCACCATTAGGTACACCAGTACCACCATTAGGTCCACCAGTACCACCATTAGGTACACCAGTACCACCATTAGGTACACCAGTACCACCATTAGGTACACCAGTACCACCATTAGGTACACCAGTACCACCATTAGGTACACCAGTACCACCATTAGGTACACCAGTACCACCATTAGGTACACCAGTACCACCATTAGGTACACCAGTACCACCATTAGGTACACCAGTACCACCATTAGGTACACCAGTACCACCATTAGGTACACCAGTACCACCATTAGGTCCACCAGTACCACCCACCATTAGGTACACCAGTACCACCATTAGGTACACCAGTACCACCATTAGGTACACCAGTACCACCATTAGGTACACCAGTACCACCATTAGGGTACACCAGTACCACCATTAGGTACACCAGTACCACCATTAGGTACACCAGTACCACCATTAGGTACACCAGTACCACCATTAGGTACACCAGTACCACCATTAGGTACACCAGTACCACCATTAAGTACACCAGTACCACCATTAGGTACACCATTAGGTACACCAGTACCACCATTAGGTACACCAGTACCACCATTAGGTACACCAGTACCACCATTAGGTACACCAGTACCACCATTAGTCCACCAGTACCACCATTAGGTCCACCAGTACCACCATTAAGTACACCAGTACCACCATTAGGTACACCAGTACCACCATTAAGTCCACCAGTACCACCATTAAGTCTACCAGTACCACCATTAGGTACACCAGTACCACCATTAGGTACACCAGTACCACCATTAGGTACACCAGTACCACCATTAGATATGGTTGCATTTTTTGATCTGGAACCACCAGTAGTTCCAGTTCCTGCATTAGTTCTGGCATCATCATTTGGTACAATGCCACCTCTTTGTTCAGTAGCAAGAATTGTTTCTGAAAGAATAAAACAAATGAAACAAACATTTGGAGGATCATGATGAATACAAAAGGAACACATACCATTGCAAGAATAGTATGACCAGAAATTATTGAGAATTTTAGGAATATGTTTAATTCAATTTCTAGTATAAACAACCTTCACCAGCTATCAAGTGCAAGGTTTCATTCAAGAGAGACAACTCTGTTAATCCTTTTTCATTAGTTTGTGAAGAGTTATCCCCCTTTGTTTACTTGCTAGCAGACAACATTTTCAGTGATCCTCAGTATGGATGATTTAGAGAAGAGGAAGTTCATTTGGGACTATTATAACAAGGACATCAGATCAGCTAAAGTGATTTCAAGTAGAACAGGCATCCCTTTGTTCACTGTTTATCGTGTTTTGAATGCAAATAGTGCAAATGGATATGGCATTGAGCACCAGGGAGGTGCAGGTAGGCCCAGAAAACTGACTGTCGGTGACAGGAGGCGGCTTGGTATTCTTGTTTCTAAAAACAAACGAAGGAGTTTAGAAAACTTAAGGCTGGATATGATTGATAGAGGAACTGTGGCAGTCTGTAAGGAGACAATTAGAACTGGGCTGCATGCAATGGATTGGCAGAAAAGTCGAGGAATTCCTTCACCGATCATGAAACCTGAACAAAAGGAGCGAAGGTTGAACTGGTGCTTACAGTATAGAAATTTTAACTGGGACAATGTGATTTTCTCAGATGAAAGTTCTGTGTGGCTGTTTCCTAATACACTGAAATTCTGGACCAAACAAATTGAAAACCTTTGTATCAGCACCCAAAGTACAGTTTGAAATTTAACGTGTGGGGTGGCATATCTGTGTTAGGGGCAACACTCCTCTGTGTATTTGAAGGGAATATGAACAGTGAGTGGTACACAGATATTCTCGAGGGACATTTACTTCCATCTGCTCACGTGTTCTATGGAACTTTTTGGATTTTCCAGCAGGACAACGACCCAAAACATTGTTCAAAGCATTCAGGCCTGGTTTCGGACCCAAAATATGACATTATTAGATTGGCCAAGCTATAGCCCTGACCTAAATCCAATAGAAAATGTTTGGGGACTTATGAAGGAGAGTGTCAATAAGAAAAATCTGACAAATATTGCTGAAATGAAGGAAGAGGTGGTCCGATATTGGGACAGCATGGACCACGACTTTCTAACTTCTTTGATCAGTAGTATGCCCCGCAGCATTGAAGCCTGCATTTCTGCCCATGGTGACTTGACAAAATACTAACTGTTCACCTGACTTTGAATGTGGAGTTATGTTCTGCTAATATTCACATTTAATACGTGAGTAATGAGTGAAAAAAATATGTAAATTTCTGATTAAAATTGATATTTTATACTTATCCTGACTCATGCTTAATTGCTTGTCTTCTTCTTGCGAACTATAGTGGAACACTTGAATCCCCCTTTGAAGCTCCCTTCAAAAAAGTGGACGTAAAATCACTCACCCCATTAGTCTCCCTTTACCCCATCTTTGGCGCCAAAAGTTGGTCACATGATCAGCCATGCTTGTCAACTCTCTCCGTATATTCGAGCCCAACACTTGGATTTGCAGGGAAATCCAGAGTGCCATGAGGGGAGGTTGGGAGGGCTAACCTCATGAGTCAGGATAAGTATAAAATATCAATTTTAATCAGAAAATTACATATTTTTCCTTATCCTGACTCATGCTTAATTGCTTGCAGAATCAGACGGAATCGGTGGTGGGTCAAGCCACTCTGGATTCTCTGCTGATTTACGTCCTTATACCCCCTTGGGAACTTCTAATGGTATTTGTCCTTTCTTCCAGCTTCTTCTGATGAGTAGGGGGACCACAACTTGTCAGATTTATCCTGGAATATCTTCTCCTGACATTCTGTGTGGATTTATGCAACTCCATCTCTTGATGCTTGCATCAAGTGGAGAAGCGACCCTACATCGTGTACAAGTAAGTCCTTACAAGTACAGGGTCCATCACTCATGCTAGCCTGTCCTAGACATGCGCATGGACTTTAAAACCGTAACTCTGTTGAGTGTTGGCTTTCACAAGTCACGTGACAAAGGGGTGAGATTTATCTCAGCGTCTTTGAGGTACTGTCAATTGTTGTGCTACAACAAGGGGCCCAAACTGGTGGATGCCGGAGACGTCCTCTGTAGCCATGTCTCTGAGGTAGTGGTTGGCAAACACTGTCTCCAATCTCCAAAAGGAGCCCTCCATTATTGTTGAGATAGAGCAGTTTCCATGCAGAGCTAGTGTGGATGCCAGTGCTCTGACTTCATGAGGATTGGAGGCTCGTGGAGGATCAAGTCCTGCTGCTTTATAGGCTTTAAATAAGACGGCTCTCATCCATATTGATATAGTCGTACGTGAGACTTCTGTTGGTGTCTCCGTGGATAGAGGGATGAAAAGGCTCTTGAATTTTCGTCTCCTCAATTTAGACCTTTGTAGATATATTTTCAATGCTCTGACTGGACATAAGGATCGATCTTGAGTATCCTGTGGTCCTAATATCGACGAAAGTGCTGGGATATGGAATTGTCTGTCTGGTTGACCGGGCAGTAGATTCTTTGCTATAAAATCCCATCTTAGTCCCAGATGCACTGTGTCACGATGCGCGTCAAATCTTGTTATTCCGAAGTCTAGAGCATGAATTTCTGACATCCTTGCCACTGTTGCTAGGGCTACGAGGAACAGGGTTTTATGAGTTAATTTCTCATATGATGTCCTTTCTAGTGGTTCATAATCTTCACTGTTAAGATGCTGTAAAACCAAATTGAGATCCCAAGCGGGCTCCTTGAATTTCCTTTGTTGGTCTTCCAACTTGAATGAGCGTAGTAGTGCCAGTATCTCTGGTACTTTGGTCAGTTTTATACCTGTTTTCATCGTGATAACTGTGCTCAAAGCTGCTAGGTATGTAGAGAGTGTAGATCCCTTTAATCGTTTTGTCTGTCTGAGATGACAAAGATATTCCGCCACTTGAGGATGTGTTGCTTCCATCGCAGTGAAGCCTTTATTCCGTGCATATTTCTCAAAACTTTGCCACTTGTCATCATCATACAAGGTACGGGTTGATCTACGTAAGGCTAAAGTTACTGCTTTGGCCGCATTGGTGGAATATCCTCTTTTCTTCAATCAAGTCGTGATACGCTCCATGTGTATAGCTGAAACATTGTTGGGTTTCTGTGTACTTGTTTGGTGTGTGGATGAATCAGTAGATTTGGCCACTTTGGAAGTTGTAGGATTGGATTTCCTATATCTTGTATGAGGTTGGGGAACCACTCTCTCGCTGGCCAACAAGGCACAACCAAAATCAGTTGTAACTTGTTCGTCACCTTGATTTTCTGTAATACCTTAGTACCTTCCACTGGTAGTGACGTCCGTTGAATAGGAATCGGAGGTATCTCTTTGAGTCCTGATGTATTGGGATGTGAAGATACGCCATCCTGTAGATCTATGCTGGCTAGATAATCTGACGAACTGATGATCAGTCTGAGTTGTGGAAGATGTACCATTTTGAATCTTGCGAGCCTTCTTAGATAATCCTGGTTGAATTTCTTCATGTTGTAAATCAGTCGGAACTTTTCCTTGGAATTTTTCTTTGGAACTAGAAAAATTGGGGAGTAAAAACTGGGTGTGACGATGTTTATTTCTTCGACTGCCTTCTTGTCGAGTAGAGTTGTAATGGCATCGAGTAATTTCTCCTTCTGATCGGGAGCATAGTTGTACAACTGAGGAGTGCTTGTTAAAGGTGGAACTGCTTGTAGTTCTATCTTGTATCCTCTCGACGAAAAGAATCCTTATATCCCTTGGAAGTGCCATATTTCTTGTCTCTAGCTCTCTGAATTCCTGCAAATTTAGATTTGCCAGAGTAGCGCTGCGATGTCTGTCTGATAACGCTGGCCAGTGTATCGATGGACTTGATCATCATCACTTCTCTGGACTCCTTCGTAACTTCTTTTGCCACGTCCCCCATCTCCCCTGCGAATATATTCGTTGCTGCCCATGGAGCTCTGAATAACAGTTTGGTGAACTTCTCACTCCATTTACAAGATGATAGTAGACCTTGTCTTTTTAGCAGCGTTAATCCCGCCGATGTAGACGCTAAATGTCCGGACATGAACTGTTGGTCTTTCCTTTGGGTCAGTAAGGCTGAGTAGATCATTCGATCTTCTTCAGATGTTGAGTTTGCAAACTTCGCAATTAGGGTTTCGTTGATGGCTCTTGATCTGGCTTAACCAAAGAAGGTACGTCTAGTGGTTGTGTCTAGTTGCGCTAGCTTCTTGTCCTCCACTTTATAAGTCCTGATGCGAGCGTCATTGATGAGTTCCATTCATCATGAATGGTTCCATGTCGTGTAGTGAAAAAGGTGGAATGCTTTGACTTTGATACTTTGTTGCCTTCTTGAAGGCTGAACTGAGGTTGTCTGGGACGTCCAATACAGGGTCTATGGGTGGTAGCGTCAGCGTGTCAAAATCGTCGTTAGACATCATGTACGTGTATGCTTCATTATTCTCTTTAGATGGTGATGCAAGCTCTAAACCATTAGCCATCCAGGATTTAATCTCTGTGTCGGAGAAAATAATTCCCCCATCATCTTCAGGTTTAGATGTGTCTTGTTCTGAAGATCGTTGCCGTTGGTCCTGATCTTAAGGTGGAGATCTATGTGTATGCCTGCGCGAAGGCACTCATGAGTGCCTTCCTGGAGATGTGGAAGGTGATCTGCATCTGCGTGGCAACCACCATGAAGACCTTCCTGAAGACCTGCGCGAATGTGATCTGTCTCTGTGAGCTGTATGCCTTCGTGAAGGTGTATTCTCTCTTCTACGGGACGTTCCCGCAGAGTCTGAGGATGAGGATGATCTGGGATGCCTTCGCGAATGTTCCTCGTCTATTGCAGGAGCCTCTTCATAATTGTTCCTTCCTTCGCGAATGCCTTCGCAGATGCTGTCTTCTGGACTGTTGTCTCCATGAGTGTCTTCACGAGTGGTTCTTCCGC